TTTTTTTTTTTTAGTGTTGGCTAATTTTGTTTATGCAGTGGACCTATTTCATAATCATCTGCTCAAATTTGTAGTTGGTAAGTACCTCTCTAATCCACTTCTTTTTCAATTAATTTATAAGAAAAATATGTTTATCAACCGAATATGTAAAAAATAAAGTGAAAAATATTTTAAAATTACATTGTTTTAATATATTTTATTAAAAAAATTAAAACATCTTAAATTTTAAAATAAGATTTGTTTTAGTTTTTTTTTATATATATTATTTTATTAAAATAACATGATTTTAAATGTTTTTCTTCAAGCACTAATCTCTATATTATTATATTATATATGAAACAAGCATAAAATTTGATTAGACGAATGCAACTCTGATATATAATTGACTTAACAACAATCATCCCTATGTAATTGGTTTTTTCTTTTATTAAATTTCTTCCATTACAATAAGTTAACTTCATTTCTTTTCAAAATTTTGGATCGATAGAACTGCCAGTCTTTTGTATTCTTGAAAAGTGTCGAAGTTATTATTTATTCAACCCCCAAAATATGCAATTGTCCTTTGTTGGAATTAACTGCACACAATAAGTGCCTCTCAATAATCAATGAGATTTTCTAAATACATGTTAGACAATCCTATAATCAGTTACGAAGCATGATTGAAATATGATGATTGCCTATTTGTTATTGATGATTGATTATTAACAAATGGTTTACACATTTTGTAATTAAATTGTATGAAAAATATAAATGTTAATTTTGATTCATTTAGTTAGTCAATTAAAATTTTACACTTGTCAATGGCATTAAAATAAAGATTAATTTTTATATTTTTTTAATGCAACTTAATTATAAAAAATATATTTATTATACCTTTAATTTGTAAGGCATCAAATTTTAAAAAAACCGATTAATAAAAGGAGAAAGACTAATTACAAAAAAAAAAAACAAACACACACACAAAAAAAAAAGGTAAAGTACTAATGCTTGCTTTGTGACAACAATCCTTCTTCCAAAGCCTCTCTAATTGTCTTAAAGGTTGAATATAGGCACTCTAAAATTCCAATGTCAAGAAACAGAGTACACAATACAATATATAAATCTTTTGAGATTAGTATTTATTAGCTAGACTTATAAAAAGTTATGTAAAAAAAATTTAAAATTACATCTTTTCCATAAAGTATTACAAAACAAAGATTAAAACAGTCTCATTCATTTATGGTTTTAAAATTAAGATATTTTATTTTTTTACAATACAAATTTATTAAAATGACAAAATTATTTTTCTGTTTAATTCTTTACAAGTTTGGTTGATAAAGCATTTTTCTTCAAATCTTTAACCTAAATTTAAAAAAAAAAACACACACACACACACAATATATAAATCAATATTATGTTATGGCAAAAAAAAAAAATAATGTTTTTGTTTTTTTTGCAGATATTGTTTGTACATGGATCTTATGGCGTGGAATATTAACCATTCTTGGAATTCCAACTATCATCTTATTTTTGGTCTTCGAATGGAGGAGTAGGCATTTATCCATGTATGATTCTATTGAAGAATTCTTGCAAAACAACAATAACTTCATGCCTATAAGGTATTCTTACTCGAAAATCAAAAAAATGACCAATGGTTTTAAGGAGAAATTGGGTGAAGGAGGTTTTGGTCAAGTTTATAAAGCAAAGCTTCAGAGTGGTCGCCTTGCAGCAATAAAGATGTTGGGCCAATCAAAAGCTACAGGGCAAGATTTTTTCAATGAAATTGCTACCATTGGAAGAATTCACCACGTCAATGTGGTACAAATGATTGGCTTTTGTGCTGAAGGATCAAAACGTGCCCTTGTGTATGACTTCATGCCTAATGGTTCCCTTGATAAACATATTTTCTCTGCAGAAGGCAGTATTGCAAGTTTGGATTGGGAAAATCTATACAAGATTTCTTTAGGAGTGGCTCGTGGAATTGAGTATTTACACCGAGGTTGTGATATGCAAATCTTACATTTTGATATCAAGCCTCACAACATTCTTTTAGATGAGAACTTCACTCCAAAAATCTCTGATTTTGGTCTTGCAAAGTTATATCCAGCCAAAGGTAACATTGTGTCTTTGACTGCAGCGAGAGGAATTTTAGGATATATGGCACCTGAGCTATTTTACAAAAACTTAGGAAGTGTCTCTTACAAAGCCGATGTGTACAGTTATGGGATGTTATTAATGGAAATGGCTGGCAAAAGAAAAAATGTGAACCCATTTGCAGAGCATTCGAGTCAGATATATTTTCCTTCATGGGCATCAGAGCAATTGAACAAAGGAATGGAGCTGGAAATAAGAGAAGCCATTGAAGATCAAAAAAGAATTGCAAAGAAAATGATCATTGTAGCCTTGTGGTGCATACAGATGAAGCCAATTGATCGCCCTTCAATGAACAAAGTCATAGAGATGCTTGAAGCAGAAGTTGATAGCTTAGAAATGCCTCCCACCTCTTTCCAGCTTTATCCCCATGCAACACAACAAGATGATGTTACAGAGAAAACCTACCTCACAGAATCTACTAGTTTTTCTTCATGCAATGATATAGAGATTGAGTCAATTAGTTTACTTGAAAATGAAAATTAAGTGGGATAGTAGTGAAGAAGCTTGTATTTGTATTAGATTTGCTTCCTTTACAGCATAACCAAGGCAATGAATTTGGAGTTGCACTGGTATGTTTGGCAACCCAATAGTTATGTATATTTTGAAGTGCATGAACTAGTTCTAATTATTTTGCCTATAAAATCAATTGAACAATTCACTAGAGCTAATTTTTATGTTTCAAAACTTAATTAAACTTTAGTTTAACACTTTGTTTGAGAACACTTCGTTTGAGAACACTTCTTGAGACTTTAGCTTTTAGCTTTTATGTCTTTTTACTATTTTAAATATATATAAAATATTAATTAAAATAAATATTAAATATAGTAAATATATGTTATAAATTTTTCAAATGTTAAAAAACCAAAAAAACCTACAACTACAACTATAGAGTATCATTATCAAACTAAACCTAAATCATGCATCTAAAGTTCATTTCCTCTTCATTTTTGTCTCTATAAAAGCTGATAATTCTAAAGAACTATGACTTCTGAAAATTTTGGTGTAGAAAAAATCAATCGTAGGGTTGCACCAGTTTCATTTCACTCAATAAGATGTAATAGCCAGTATTCCTGAACTTGCCAAGAAACTAAAACCCAAGCATTAATTGATGATCTACAAGATTGATTTTGAAAATTCTCATGCAAGAAAAATTCAGTTGTGGGGTTGCATCAATTTCATTCCTTTCAAAAGGACAATAACCAAGTGTGATAGTTGGTGTTTCTTAAC